ATAATTGACTTAATTCTTCTAATTAATTATCAAACTGAATGATCCAATGTCTGGGAGAGGATTAAATTGTAAATCTTAGACAAATTTCCAATGGAATTCATCTTGTTAATGAGATAACCTTAGTAAATTACTAGTACACATTCACATCAAGAATAGCCACCTTATTATTTGTTTAAACACATAAGTATTGGTACAATGATGCACCAAATATATATGCGCCACATAAATCGTTCGATTTGTGTGAAGGCTGTGATACTGCCCGGGTGCCCAGACCGAGGCACGTGGTTTTCTTAGGGGGCTACACCCCGAGCCTTCGACCTGAAGGTCTGATCCACAAGGCAGTGGAGCATCGTAAGGAGATGCAGTCCCATGGAAGCCGGTGACCAACAATTGGTTCATACGCAATTTGTTCCCTCAGGATACTGGAGCCGATGTGCACCACTGGTTTGGGATCCGGTTAAAGCGCCAGACATTCGCTTTTCGTCCTCTCATTTTCGTAAACAACACCGCCACGAGAAGGCAGTGAGTAGGACTTCCCTATCAGAGGCTATATACGCGTGGCCGTGTGAGAGCATTTGGAGAGGGAGAGCAGGTCCATCCCACTCTCTGCCATACCAGGGCATTTGGGGACACTTGGTAACAAAAGTACTCTGATAATCTGATTCCATAAACTTTATCGAGAGAATCACTCATGTGTGATTCACTGTAATTGTTACTCATCCTTCTACGGTTATTTATGAATATAATCAGGGTAACGTATTAACCAATCACAGGTTGGCATACTCAGCTACTGATACTACATAGATGCTTAAACCAAATTAGTCTGTACATAGTTCGGACCTTTGAGTCCCACTTGTAGGATTGTGGATCAGCACTGCTGAAGAGTCCCATACTAGGACGAACCGACCTCCCAGTGCTTCCAAGTTTTCAGTGGTGGTTTAACATTGATCATTTCATGATCTCAGTTAAAACTCAATAATCTCCACAACCGTATACTGATAATTGTTGTTTAGTTGCTTAAATTTATTTAGATCTTTATTATACATACTAAAGCTTACTTACGCCTGCTACTCCCAATGGAGCATAGGCCGCCGACCAGCATTCTCCAACCCACTCTGATACCAAAGCTTATAACGAATTTTGACCAAATTCATTTGTGTTAGTGTTCTCAACTCATTTCATAATTTTGATTTTTAAAAGTTACAGCTGGTCAGAAACTAATGCAGTGAAGTCAATTGATATTATTCTGCTCATATCTTTGTTTTTGCTCTTTTCGAAACAACTAAGGGAGCATTATGTGGTAAATAGTAATTTACTTATTTCTTTGATACTTCCCGCTAGTTAACTCCTGACATACTTTGTGAAGGCCATTGTTACGCTTAAACCGTAGTTATAGATTCAGAATGATAATGTCATCAGTCTTTGGCTGTCTTAATCATCCCACTTGTTGATGTTTAGTTGCGCAACATTACATTACGTGCTCTTGATTAAAAATTCCTTTTCTTTACTCATTGATACTTGTATGAGCTTTTTTGATTTTACTCTTTACAAAAGTAATGGTGTTGTTTATACAAATATTACACCAACTTTGATCTGCATGTTAATGAATAATTATAAGAAATTATTAGGAAACTAGTAATTGTTCTGAAAATCCTTAATAAGCTGTATGAGATTTCACGATCGACATCAGGGGTTAATCTTACCTAGACCACTACTCAAAAGCAAAAACGACTGAACGGCATTTTCGTCCTAGTATGGAGCTTCTTAACAGTGTGTATCCACAACCACATTACAGGAGATTGCATACAGCACCTTCAGGTCTCTCGCAGACACAGCCTTGATACCACTGAATCGGGATTCAATGGTGTGTATAGCTATTTTCAATCAACTCACGATATTCGACAACTCTTTGATTGCTAAGAGTGCATGAGTGTCTCACATCCGACAATTCGTGAGTTTAAGTATGTCGGGTATTAGACAGTTATCTGTTGAGTACAATTGGAGAGGGTTGCTCAATATCGTGAATTGATTGAATATAAACGTGTATACAACTTAATCCTGACTTAGTAGTGTGAAGGTTCACGCGAAACCTGATAGTACTGGGTTTGATCTCTTGTGATATGTGCTTGCTTCTGAGGAGCTTCGTGCTAGGACGAAACGGTCTTACGATCCTTCGTGGTTCTGAATAGTGGTTTAACTAAGATCCGTTCATATTTTAAATATGAAAATTCAACAATCTCCACTAGCTCCCACTGGTAATTAGAATGATATTTGTTGTTCGCAGTAGAAAATCGTAGTTCATTATTATCTTATTCGGTTAGAAATCTTCATACGAAGTGTTTTTGCATCAGTTATATGCCAACGTAAAATAAATGTGATATTAATTGATCTGTAACAAACTACTGGTCAAACATTTCCCATCAAATTTCTGTCAATTGGATATATTACTTAACTCTATGAAAGTAGCACTATGCAACTTCGTAAAATATGCTTGCAGTTTTGGTCAAGTATATTTCGAAAAGAACTTTCAAGAACAGATATCAACTGGTAGATTATTAAAAACTAAGAGGCAATGGGAAAATATTCTACTCATCTTGGTTTCGAAATCTTCATTAGTACGTGCACATGAATTTTCATAGGACAAAAACTAAGGGTTTTAGTTTTTGTGGTAGTCTTCAGTTCCCCTAAATCCGCGTAACATGGAATTATCAGAAGTTCCAATGGTTGGATATATCCATAACCTAACCTTCACAGAATATTTGATGAAACAAAAATATCGACACTATTCATTATGGATATATATGACTGTCCAGTTCCATTCCTTAATATCAGTACAGGAAATATACAAACCCTTACTGACAACTTCACACCCATTGAATAACGTCGTTGATACTTGTGCTCAGTATTATAGTGAATAGCTTGTCCAAATGTCAGAAAACAGACATTGAATTGAGTCCTTAGTGTAAACTTTAGCTCTGGGATATTAGTACATTTAACTAACGGGTCTCGCATAGCATCAATCCAATTTTGTCAAAGCAGTTTAGATTTGTTTCCTTAACTACGAAAGGTATTCAGATACACTTGTTTGATCTACTTATGTTTGATTCTTCTTCATTGCTCTAAGAAACAAAACAGATTTCCCCTAACGATTAACGATTTGATCTTTAGTTTTTTTCTTTTGATGAAAATAAATATTTTAGAAAATCCCTAAACTTCTTTCAAATTAATTTCTTTTCTTCATGTTCACCAAGAAAAGATACAGTACATGGATTTTTGAAACCTGAATCAAGAGTCTAAATAACTAGCTGTGCCAGTTGCAATGATCAATGATCCCAAACTTAATTCCAGGCAGAGTATTGGATGAATACTATTAGGAATTTTCAAATTTATACTAATTGGTTTTCGACAGTTTTATAGTCTAAAATAAATACCAAAGTTTCAGTGTTAGATGGTTGTAGGTAGTTAACAGAGCATCCTAGATCTAGGTTTCGTGCAAGTTATAAACAGACTGATGTACCTTGAGAAATTCATATCCAGTTTGTGATGTTATCACTAAACAGTCTGTTTTGTTAACCAACCTACAAAACTGATAACAATACTAAAATTTACTAACCAAATTAGGTATGATACTGACTATGATATTAACAGTTATGGATATTAACAAGTATCAACTGTCAGAATTCTTCTTTGGCTATTTAGAGATCTTAATGAATCAAGATAACGACTCTTTTGTTAACTAGTTCATCGAAATCAATCAACAAAAGTACAAATGAACAACACACTGAATTCTGTATTTTGTGAACTTCGAAATTTAATGCAGTAATGAATATCGTTTATCGTATTATTAATGCACATTAATTTAATGGGTATCAATATTGAAGTCTAAGGTGTGTATTTCATTGTATTGGTAACTCGTTAGTTAGATACAATTTGAATGACTTGATCAATATGAAAGCTCTCTCACTACAGGCCAACATTAAGTTAAAGACCCAGATTACCTTAAGTTATTTCAATAATGTTTACGAGTTCCTATGTTGTATGTACTATCCAATTACTTTATAGTAGTTAGACTGAGAGGCTGTATTTAGCTGAGGAAACTGGTTACTGTAGACTGAAAAAATCATTTTGCTTTGTTTGAAAAAATTGAAATCCATTGAATTCTCGAACAATCACAAACTAATTTAAATTTATTTAATCAACAAGTGAACGTCTCATTTAGTAAAATTCCTTTAAATAAAACCAATTGTTTATTCTTTGTTTCTTCACTGAAAATTAAAGTAATTTCATCAATAATTATCACCTGTGAATTTTAGAAGTAACATATTCTATCCAAAAGATACACAATCAATACGAAACAAATACCGGCAAAATAATTTGAATAGGTTAAGTATTCATCTGGCTAGTGATCATTGTCCACATATTCCTGTCTATTTCAGTATGACTACCCAAAAATATACACTAGTTGTAAATATAATTATTCATCTTTCAGTAGTAAATCTTCCCATGAAATTCTTATCTTCTTCGGCCTATTTGGATGGTCGAATATTTAAGAATATAACAGCTATTGGATTTCACCATGAAACACAAATAATTTACTACGATTCCCCAGTAAATAGTTACACAGTGTTAATTTTTTGTTACTATGGAAATAGGTATAGCATGTGAGTTAAACATCGATTTATATATAAAAACAAATCAGAGATCATTCGATTCTTTGATTTTTCTTACATTACTCTACTTAAGGAATACACTACGGAAATGAAATAGAATAAACTAACTAATTACAATACTGTCACATATATTAACTATCTTACATAGTAGAAGAGTGATTTGTTCAGGCTACAAGTACACAAAGGCGAAAATCTATTCCTCTTACTAATAAGTAAAATTGAATAACAATGTCATTCATAAACATTGAAAGTAGAAAAAAACCCAGTTCATAGATTAAATGATCAAAACTACTCATTTTCCTTTTACCAAACAAAAAAAAACAACCTTTTTTGCATCAAATATTATCATTGTTACAATCACTACTACTAATAATATTAAAAGTAATAATCGAAATAGAACGAATAGGATTAAATATAATAAGGATAAGGATTATAACTGTAAAAAATAAACTAAATTAGCCAACCGTGTCAGTTTAATAATAATTTAAACAAACACGGTTGTTGTCTTTTTTTTATGTATGGAACAATGAATTACCATCGGTGACAATGTTCAATTGATATCATTAATGATAGTCAATGCTTCAGTTCACTAATGTTAAAACAGGAAATAAATGTATACATTGAGTACTATCACTAATTGTAGTATTAGTATTAGTAGTAGTAGTAGTGGTAGTAGTATTAATAGTAGTAGTATGTAAGGGAAGTTAAAAAAATTAAACAAATACCATGTAAAGAATAATTATTAATAACAATAATAATATCAACAATAGTAATTATAGATAACTATGTATATATATATATATAAGTAAACTTGTTTTCTGATTATGATTTTAATAGTAGGAAAACAAAAACGCCAATAAATGGAAAAAAGATTTGAATGTGACTTATTCAAACTATCTATTAGATTGTTTTAATTGTTTGTTCTTTTTAAAAACATTTAAATTTATCCCTGATTTATTCAATTTTCAATGAATGAATCAATGAATAAAATGATCTCATGAATAATAATAATAATAATAACAATTCTATTGGTATTCATGATAAACAATACATTCATCATCATCATCTTCTTGGTCGTCGTCGTCATCGTCGTCATCGTCGTCGTTGTCGTTGTCGTCGTCGTCGTTATTAGTTTGTTTTTTATGATAATCAATTATTCCTTCATTGTTTTTCTGTTCATTTATATTTAAACTTGTATAATTTGTAAATGGCGGTTTTTTTGTATTTAAAATTAAATTTTCATATTGAAATGCTGCTTTAGCTACATTTAATACAGTTTGATATTGTAAATTCATTTTATTTATAGAATTTGAAAATGTATTATCATTTAATTCATTATTATATATTGATAATGGTAATAAATTATTAGTAGTATAATTCAATTCAGTATAATCATTTATTGTGGATTTAATAAATTGATTTGATAACCAATTATGATTATCATTTAATTGTTTTAATTTTATAGATGATTCTGATATATTTGAAGATTGTGTAGTAGTAGTAGTAGTAGTACTAGTAGTAATAGATGTTGTTGATGAAATGAATGGAATTTCTGTAGTGATTGTATTAATGGTTGATGTAAATTGTGTAGAATTTGATAAAGATTGTAAATGTTTTTTCATTATAAAATAATTATCATAAAAATCAGATTGATTGGATTGATTTTTGAAATTATTCAAAAAGGAAACTGATAAATCTAATTGTGTAGCTACATTATTTAATGAAGAATTAGAGTTTAGAACTTGTGAAGAATCATTAATATGATTATATGAGCAATTATTATTACGATTCATATCAATGATGTCAACATTATTTGTAAATTGATTCATAACATTATTATCATCATCAGAATTATTCTGTTCATGAGTATATTCAAATTGAGATAATGAAGTATTAGGATGATTGAATTTCTGTTCATTATGTATTGATAAAAAGTTAGATTCATTCATTGAATCAAAATCTAGATGAAATTGATGCATTCTAGATAATGGTAATAATGATGGTAAAGTTGATCTAGTTTGATAAGTTGGATAACTTAAATCTGTAACAGTATTCTCATTGAAATGATGAGGTAATAATTTTGTATCTGAGTAATTAGATAATGATGAGAATTGATTTGAATATTTAGTAGATCTATCTTCATTGAAATTAGTTAAAGAATCAAATGTTTTATCTGAATTAATCAATGGATTGGATAATCCTGACTCGATTGAATAAGAAATGTTGTTGCTATTATTATTTGTAATATCAGTGGTAGTAACAGAGGTTGTAGTGTTGTTATTGTATGTTTTAGAAAATATATTTGCCCATTCATATGTATTCAATTCGGGAAAATGTGTACGATTTTGAATTTGATGATAAACATCATCTACCTGATTGACAATATTATATAATGACGAATTAGTTATCGATGTAGCATGGTTACATAATTCCGTTGACTTTTGCAATAATGGTATAGAATAAGTTTGTAAGTGATGATGTAATGCACTAGCTTCTTCTAAATTTTTATCTTGAACCTGTCTTTTTAACTTATACCGACGATTTTGGAACCAGATTTTTACCTGTGTAATAATAATAATAAAGAAAAGAAAATTTGTCAGAATATAAGATTAATAAAGATATATGATTAAAAATCTGGTAAAAACAGCGAATGGTCACAGCAAATATACATGAAAAATGTAAACTGTAGAATGTTAACACAAAGGTTTAAATGTTCAACGCTCAATGTGATTTCGATCCCTGATTAGGTTATAGATACATAATGTTGGGAATTCTCACACTGGGATGAAATAGCTAGGTGAGACTATAATTTATGGACGACCTTTGGGCGACGCTAGACTGACCTTGAGAGTGTTCATCTAATAACTAAGACTAAATAAAGGTTATAAACCTATGTTAGAAATTAGAATTATGACTTACAGTTGATGATTAAGTTTACGAACTAGATTTAGGGTTTTCATCACGAACTAATATCAGCTGTAATGACAAAACGCTATTTAGCCAAATAGATGAATGAACTTCGCGCCAAAATCCAAGACTCGTTATCTTATATCTGATTGGTTCGTCCACAGATTATAGTCTCGTCATTAGCTACCTAATGTTGTCTGTTTTTCAGTTATCATTTAATTGGAGCTAATCCATTATGTAAATTATAATATGTAACAATCTACACAAACCTTGAACACATATCTTGTTCAACTAACAACTCTACGCTGACAGTAGCCTTAATTATATGAAAGTAGATGGTAGCTTCTAGTATTTTTTAGATTAAAGATGATAGACAAAGTTTGAATCATTTGAACTGTTATTTAGAATTAACTTCAAGTTAATCAAACTTCTTGAACATATAATCTAGGTTCACTCTTTCCTGTTGATTACAATGCAACATATAATCATAATTAGGTTAGGTACAATTCAACTTCATTCTAATCAAATGGAGTTTTTTTTATTAAAGACTTTTAATTTACCGCATATCTAAATTTCATGGGTAGATATTTCTTATTTGTTACGATTCATTAACAATCATTGTCAAAGTCAGAATCGTCAATACGAAAGTCATCATAGTTCTACTGTACGGAGCTCGAATTTCGAGAACTACTACAAGCATCATCAAAAAGCTACAAGTATTTATAAATAATTATCTTCGCAAGATACTGAATATCCGTTGGCCAGATATCATCAGCAACAGTCTTCTGTGAAAGAGGACAAACCAACTTCCAAATGAAGAGGAAAAGATGTTGTATGTGGATAAGATATGCATTAAGGAAATCACGAGGCAAGCCCTAACTCGGTATCTTGAAGGGAAACGGAAAAGAGGAAGGCCAATGAACACACTGCGTCGAGAATTAGAAATAGACATGAGAAGGATGAATAACAATTGTAAAGAGTTGGATATGACTGCTCAGAACAGGGTTAAATGGCGAGTGCTGATGGGCGGCCTATGCTCCTCGACGAGGGGTAACAGGCATAACTACGTAACTAAGTAAGTACGCTTCATCAACCTATTAAATTTTATAACATTATTCAGTTAACTTCTTAGTTGTATGAAACTTTAAAAAAATATAAAAATTGTATACTATAAAATGGGTTGTAAGTTATTAAGATAATAATTATTAATAAGAAAAACTTAATCTCTATGATATACGTCTGTGTATTTTCAAAAAAAGAAAAACTATTTTTACCCATAAAATTTCCAACTTTATTTTCTCTCATTTTTTTTTTGTAATTTGCGCAATTTCAATATTCATTTAAACAAACATTATAATTTCCAAATGTTTATTTATCTATTTTATCTTTATTGTTGTTTTGATTTATATCCATATTAAACATACAATAATCAGATAATGAAAACAGACATGATTAGAGAATGTGTTTCTTAGTACTACAATAAAGATGGAATGGTACTTAGTTTGTATTATCATAAAACATATACTATTTAATGCTTTTTCTTGGTGTAAAATGATTAACAAATATTCTTATATTCCTAATAATTTTAGCTAGACACCTACTGAAAATGAGAAGACACTAGGTGGGTGTTTTTTCTCTATGGTAAAAGATTCCTCAGTAGTATTCTTTTTATTGAGTAAACTAAAGATCGAATAAATAACCTTCCGGCTTTTTAGCCATTGAAGGATTAAAGAAAGCTAACATGTAATTTTCATTGTATTTTATCTCTATGCACCCCCCACCCGCTTAGTTTGATTTAAAGGGTTATAACAATGTTTATAAAATGTAGAAATGAATTTCATTTCATTTCAATTAATGTTTGTTCTTGCTCTATTTAAATTCATAAAGGGAACCAATTGAATGTCATTTCAATCAGTTGAAAGAATTGAATTTCTAACATGTTTAGTTTGAACATGTATAACCTAGTACATACTGTTGGACTATTTCACATATAACTGACTGACTACAAATTCTTTTTAATAGTGAGTATTCAGTAATTTGTTATCTATATCTTAAATACTTAATACTATAATAGACTATGATTACAGTTGATTTTGCATGGCTCAAATGAATAGCTAGATTTTATTGACCACGTTTACCAATACACAACAATAAAAGACAATTTCAGTTTCCAATAAAATTAGAGCTTGTTATTTCATGGTTGATGGTTTATTTTAATTGTTAAAACGATTAATAAGTTTCATTAAATCGTGAAGAATGAATGTCAGCTAATGTATTTTCTATGTTAAGATCATAAGGAGAGATGAAAGATCACAGGAAAAAGTTGATATTTATAAATTCCTGAGTTTTCGTTGCTAAGTAAAATTATAATATTCAGATGTTATGTTTTATTAGATAGATTTCTATAGTTTGTGGGCAGTTTTTATTACAAATTGTCATTAACTAATGAACAAATAAAAGTTAAGGAGAAATGGAACTTTTAAATTTGATCCCATATAGGTTCATGATTGAACACTGCTATAAAGTAGTTAACTACCTATTCAGTACTACCTAATTTTTAGTCGTACCATGCAGTTAGTAGCATTTTATTACAAACAAAATCTACATTGACATTGACAAAAGTTTGAAAGAGCTACAAATCTATAGTTTAATTATAATATACATTAAACTACAAACTTAAGATGGCTTTACAACTCCATCACAAAGTAAGCTCTAACTTGGAATCTTCAAGACAAAAAGAAAAGAAGCAGACCAAAGAACACACTGAGCTGGGAATCGAAGACAAATATCAAAAGAATGAATAGAACTTAAGAGCACTTCGAAATGAATGTTTAGTAAAAAGCTAGTTGAAGAATCCTTGTCGGCTGCCTAAGAGTGATAAAGGGTAGAAGGCTTAGGTGAGTGAGTATAAACACAGGTAGTACTTTAGTGAACGAGAATACCAAATAGGATAACCAAATGTATTTGAATACGAAATTAAAGAATCTCCCAGTAAAATCTGAGAACCATACAGTAAATACTCCATTTGCAAAATGTCAATCAGTAGTCTCAAACTTGACTTTTCCTTCGTTTCCACACTAATTACGCTCTGTTCTCGTTAATGATACATACTGCTTATATACGTCTACATCAATATCATATACCACATTACGTGCAGTTTTCATCCAACGAGTGTGGTAGAAAGCTTAGTGCACAGATAGTTGATGATTTTTTATAATAAGGCTAATTATTGTTATTATTTGAAAATTTATTTTACCTTAACTGTAAGTGAACAAGATATAAATGGCTTTTTGCTTTGTACTACACTAGTTTTCCTTTGAAATTTTATCAATCAAGCAAAGCAAAATTAAGCAGATATTGAAATGATTGGTATATGATCGAATTTTTCGGAGTAACCCAACGAATTAGATATTAGACAAGATTTAAATCGTGAACTGAAATATTCAACTAGGACTGCATTTCTTAATTGTTTAAATCTGATGATTTTGTGAAAATTTCCAATAATCAACGATTTGAAATAGTCAGTAGGAAACCCAGTATCTAAATTTTGTACCAATTATTAGTAGTTAGTAGGGTGAGGTAACAATCATGATTGGACTAATGCTATTTGAGAGATTCGAACCTCCGCCACCCAATTTCACTCCCATGGATATTACCAATGTGTTATTCAGCCAGCGACCAGCTTCCTGTAGAACTAAGATATGACCACTAGTCTTAGCGGTTAAACATTGGAAAGGTTATACTTGTGCGTAAGTTATAATTCAAACAGCACTAACGAATATACAAACACTAAATGGATTCCTATCCAATTAATGTAGATTTCACATTGCCCCCAAATGCCCTGGTATGGCCGAGAGTGCGGTGGGTTCGCCCTCCCTCTCGAAATACTCTCACACAGCCACGCGTATACAGCCTCTGCCATGGAAGTCCTACTCACTGCCTTCTCGTGGCAGGGGTGTTGTTTACGAAATTGAGAAGACGAAAAGCGAATGTCTGGCGCTTTAACCGGATTCCAAACCAGTGGTGCACATGGGCCCTTGTATCCTGAAGGAACAAATGGCGTATGAACCAATCGTTGGTCACCGGCTACCATGGGACTGCATCTCCTCACGACGCTCCACTGCCTTGTGGGTTGAACCTTTAAAGTAAAAGACTCGGAGTGTGGCTTCCTAAGATAATCACCCGCTTCGGTTTGGGCACCCGGGCAGTATCACCCCCCACACACACACACACAAATATGGTGTGGCGCATATATATTTGGTGCCCTTTTGTACCAATATTTATGTGTTCAAATAAATAAATAAATAGATTTCACATTACTGAAGGATAATCTTATTCACCACTATAAGAACATGAATTCTAGTATTTTTTGACAACTAGAATGAATTGAAATGCTGGAAATTGAATCATTATAATTTAGCATATTTCTCATCCTTTTAGCTAATACTTTGAATAAATATCTAAACTTTACTGATAATTCAATTTTCAAATCATTTCATTTTATTTAATTTTAATGTAAAGTCACAATTGTTTCAAAATGACACTAAGACCACTTATCCATTTTTCTATTTGTAATTTATATTACTGAAGTCACTTTAATGCATAAAATTACATCAATGATTTACACCATATTTCACGTTTGAATGAAGAATTC